GTCCATGTTTCGAACTGCTGTGCGTCTCCTGCGTTCTCCTGTATAATATTTACTATATCCACAATGCGCCGCAACTACAATAGTAAGATAAGCTTACGTTTGCAATCACGTTTTATTAGACGTAATATAATGAGTCTGGTCACTCTGTGCGTACGTGTCTATTACGAAACGTACTGATAGTAAATCAAAATTGCTAAATATCGATAGTAAAAAAAGTAGCTATGTCCTGTCAATAGAAGGATAAAGCATATATTAAGCGCAGGCACTTAGGAATGGACAAGCGAAGCTACAGGCTAGAGAATCCACTGCGTCCACCATTGGAAAACACTGTTGCCATTGCCTTTTTCCTTGTTATCAGCCTGTGTCATCTTCCTAATCGAGCTGTACATCTGAGAGCTGTGCTCAACTGCCTGCAAATGTAGCGAACGAGATCTTCTTGAATGCAGAACAGACAAAATGGAACTAGCTGAGAGCCGCCGGTTCGGGCGAAAAAGCAGCCGGTAACTATTTTCTTCATAGACGTTTTTTCCGCCTTCTTTTTGTGAACGGACGGTAACGAACCTCTCCTGAGATGAGAACGAGGCCTTAGGGACGGAATTAGTTGTGATAACGTAGGCAATCGACATCTACATCTTCCTTTTGCTTTCAGGTTTTCTCTTACGAGAAAAGAAAAGCGTAGCAAGCAAATGGCAAAATGGAAGAAAAAAAACACACTAGAAGTGACTAAAGGTAAAACGTAACAATAAGACAGAAGAAAGACCGAAAAACGCGATGGAAACGAAAATCACTCATACAAACTGTGGTTGTTATTTCATACGGAGAATTTTTGCAAATACGGTAGAATAAGGGGTGGGGGGTGAAGGGAGGAACATGGGTATTGAGTGGCGAACATAGCGCTGAGTCTCATGTATTAATGAAAAAATGTACAATAGAATAAACGAGGAGGTAGCGCAATAGTAGGCGTTCCTTTGCAAGCGCTAGTTATCATCCAGTATTAGCTATTTATAATCTTTTCATATCAAATGCGTATAATATGAAGAGCATCATATAATCAAACAATCAAGGGCAATCGAGCGTGCTATCAGTTGCGTCGATAAGTATTTATCGATAGCCGTATAAAGCTATCTGCAGGCGCTGCTCACGCTTTTGCTTTGCGAGTTATCATTTGTTCCCTAAACATACTGCGGTCCGGCCAGATATTTATTTATAGACTTTTTGGTAGTATTCTCATTTAATAATAATTTCAATTTATTTTCTGAGTATCGACAAGCTTACAGTTTTACATAGGAACTATGCCTATTATACTCTCTAAAGGTGTTGTTTGCACGACGCACGTTTTCGTCTCCTGCCAACGGGGTGCTGCAACGCACTCTGTCAGACGAAACCCATAGGTTTTCAACTTGATCAGTATGTTGTAGTTATTACAACCCAGGAAAAGAGCCAAATGAGTAATTCTGGTGGCGTTGATTTAAACCGTTTATGTCATGTTGGCTAACCATAAAATAGTATGACCCCCCTTAATGAAATGCTTCCCATCTCAGCCTCCATAGAGGGAATATAGGTGGGTTGTTATTGAAGGGTTGCCATTCACTGGTAGCATACGTTCGTGCCGGCCTCTATATATTTCTGGCGCCTATCCTGCATTCATAGCATATATAGAAAATGATACTTATTTGAACATTGATACGTTTAGGTGAGGCACAAAATCCATTACGTTTCCGACTATACACACATAGATTCTTTTAGGCCATTTCACACAATATATGGGTCATCGTGCATTTTCTGAGAACACCAAAATCTGTGATGTTTTTACTCTGATCAACATTGCCCCCTCTTTAGACTTCTGAGGCACCTCGTCCGATTGATTTGATAATTCAATTATAATGAGCTTCAGTGAAATCGCTTTTACTATTTTGTGCTCGAACGTAATCTTTTGACAAATGTCGAGCAAAACTAGCACAATTATCTTAGAAATATGGATGCCTTCAGTGTTGTACACCTCAACAAATAACGCGAATGTCAGTGAATAATGGCGAGTGTTCAAACGATTTCTGGCCAATAGACTATTTTCACTGCTAATGCGAAATAGGACATAATTCGATCCTGGTTGCACCTTCTCTGCGCACACGACATGTATCGAGTCCTTAAATTTTCTCACACTTGTTATAAAAAGTCGACTCAACAGGTGAAAACAGAGTTTATAAAAGGACTATCCAGTACGCCATTGCATTGAATAACACTGAATATCGCACGGAAAAGAGAATCCGGTTCAAGCGTCTGTATCGTCGACGCGGTCGGATACCTTTGGGTTCGTCATAGTTAGCGTATATGGGCGTAAAGGTCCGAAAGGAAGTTTTTTTATTTAGCTTAATTATTGATTACGAAAGTAACCTTTGATTTATTTGATTTGACTTATTTGACCTATTGATTTGACTGAAACTTTTCAAACAAAAAAAAAAGTTCAGACTTACCAAACGAAACATTTAATTCTGGTCAAGTTAGCTAAAGATTATTATAAGCCAAGGTTTTTGCGTTAAGTGAAATTAACATAAAGGCATTGCCTTACTGGCCACATCAAATAGGTTGAGCAAGAAGGTCAATATTTTTAACGCCCAAAACATGAGTGAGGTCAAAGTGCATACAAGGCTCCAAGTGTTTCAAGCCTAAAATCCGCTGCTGCCCTTGCATTAGGCCTAGCTTTGAATTTAAAGTATCTTATATGTTTCGAAGTTTTATAAGAAGACGCCTTGCTGTTGCCAATATACACCGATTAGATGCAAATATGCTTAGTCCTTTTAACCCGCAGCTAAAACTCACTGCTGTTTCAAACAATGTTCGCTTTCAATGACTGATTTAGCTCGATAATTTTGATCAATGATTGACATGAAAGAAAGGGAATAATTCAAATAGTACTTCCTGCACTTCTCGGATCGAAGCGAAAATTAAAAAATCTTTTCAACAATTGGATCTAAGAAGTACAGACAATTTTTTTAGTTGAAGATGACTAGAACGCAATGCGTATCAATCTGCAAAGGATTCTCGTCCAATGGGAGTTTTTGTGCCAATTTCTATTAATTGTCTGTTTGCTTTAACATCAAAACGAATCCTCTTTGAATTGTGGTTTGTTCAGTTCGAGCGTTTCTTTGTGGGATATATGCAATATTTTCGCTCCAAACAGGTTTATATTATGCATAGTATATTTGTTTACATAGATCAATATTGTAAAGGAGAAAACTGGTCTGGTTTTCTGCTGGACTGATATACTGACCGACTGAAAAGGAATCTTTGGGCTGTTTGGCAGCAACAAAGAGCAATCCAACCTCGTTCGAAACTCATTTATTTCCCTGTGCCACATGGTTCCACACAAAAGAGCCAAGAAAAAAAAGGATGCAAAGAAGCATTAACTCATCTGAAGGACTCAGTTGACAGTTAATATATAGTTCCTTCCTAGAACTACTGTTAATTACCGTAGCAATGAGCTGTATGTATTGGAAATGGCTTCTCGAACCATTTTGATCAATTTTCGGGCCATTTTAATCTGAACTCTATTGGGCATCTTCCGTTTATCTCATAGTGTTTTTTTCCAGATATTTTACAGGCCGCGTGAAAACTGGCAATAACGTAAACATTAGATTTCGGGACCTAAAAAGTTCTAAACTTTGCTGGGAGTAAATTCGGTGCGGAAAGACTAGATGGTAACTGACCTCCGCTCAGATCACGAAAACGGCGCAGTGTTTTATGGGCCATGACGAATTCGTTACTTTGTGCTAGGACGTACTGGCTTTCCTCTGCAGCGGCAGATAGAGGCATAGGTAGAGCATCAAAGTTTTCCTCAATTTTAACGTACCGCCTTGTGAATTAGCATTTTGATCAAGTGTACTCGTATGTTTATTAATCTACTCACATGCTGCACTATCTCATTTTCTTCGTTCTTCCGAAAGAATGAACACCTGTCTTCATGGGCTGGGATGCCTATGGGATTCCTGTAAGACATGTAAACTTGGCTAGCTAAGAGTAGGTGGGCACGCTTCAAGTGTTAACCTCCAGATAGACCGAGGAAGGGTGACGTTAATCTCTGCGGGATTATCATTGGGTCAGGACGATAAAAAGGAAAACCTTTTCTGCTTAGTTTACCGAAAACAGACATTGTGCTCTAGAGCATGGCAGAGTACGGACACTCTAAGAACTATGAAGTACAAGATTTGGACGAAAGCGTGTTATATATCGTCTCTCAAGCAAAGAGCAAGCAACAAGCTTATGGCCAAGAAGGTTTAAATCCAACCGTCAATAATCGTCAATAATTTGTACGACGCAAATATATAACTTGTGATATAATGGATATTGATACCGTGCGTCATTTGGTTCTAGCCTGGTTTCTACTCATATTATCGCCGCTTCTATGAAACAATGTATTCCTATGGTTCCTTTTTATCCTACTTTACTCTATTAGTACCAAATTAACCGTTTGTTCCTAACATATGATCCGTACGCAAAAGAAAAGAAAGTCAACTGTAGCGGATAAATCGATGAAAGACCTTGTCCGTTGGGCTACATGGACGCAATCGCCCCTATCCCCTTAGGTAATGATAGCAAAAATTGTCGTTGAGTTATACCGCACCCATCGTTAATGGACTTTCCATTTCTAGTTGCAAAACGTTAATTATACAACAATATATTCGTACAATTCAGGTACATACAAACCACATCCACTCTGACAAGTGAAGATAGCATAGATGATTTGAAGTCAGTCCCAACAAGTAACTTAGCTGCGAAAATCACCCCCTATTCGACTGTTAGATGTTAGGCGTTAATTGGAATTGAACGATATATTTACAAGTAACAATGTGTATGGGAGATGGGATCTGTGCCAAGATACATACTACGGAGATCAGAACTATCATGAAGCTTAGTATGATTTATGGTCTTGAATCATCTTCATTTTAATGCACATTAAATGGTTTCTCTAGCACGAAACCGTACCGGTTGTTGCCACGTGTCAATCCTGTGGCCCACTATGGTTTTGTTCCTGTTGAATATGTATCATTTCAAATGTACCAAGATTGACCTTTAAGCTTAAATAATCAAACTCTACGGTAATTATCTAGATGTTCAATCGAAACTAAGTAACGTATTTTACATTTTTAGGTTTATTATGCGCTAAATCTATATACAACCGTAGCGATTTGGCTACCTCCCGAAGACACAATTGACTACTAGGAGCTATTTTAAAAATGCATTATTAACGATGTCCAGTTTGGCATCAATGCGTGATTTTTACTTTTCTATATTTATATAGTTTTTACTTCTTATACTGACCGATCCGTGGAGAACTCCAACTATAGGACATGTAGTCACTTCGTTGACTACCTTGTAGAGATTTCGTACACCAGCAACAGATACATTTCTATTTATCGCGGGTCACCTTTGCCGTGAAGTCGTTCAGAGTATTCGTCGTACATTTCTTCTTCTTCATGTTCAAGTAGAAGAAACTTATCGAGTTCACGTCCGGTACGGTTGGTAAGCATTGCTTCCAATGGCTGGCTTTCAGCACAAAACAAACCGTCTCGATGTCGGGCTTCGAGCGTGTCTTTGAGTTAAATAGGCACTTAAATGGGTAATACAATAACACCATGCCACCGCGAGAACTCATTATGTTTAAATAGCTTTCATTTACCTACATAAGTTATAAAAATTAAAGATAAACAATACGACCCCGAGCAGCATTGTTATTATTGCTCTTGGGGTTACATATTTCTACGACAGTTGTGATCGTGCGTCTCAATGGAGGTCAGCGACGGGTGGGTACTTTAGTTGGTGGTAACAGTTCTAGGTGGAGGCACCGGTCTCATTGCTTTCCATTCGATGAACAACAAAAACAAACCGAATCCATATAGACATGCTTGTACCAGTCCAAAGATCTGAAAAAATTGCAAAACCAAAATACGCATCAAGTTAACATGATGTCCATACAAGTCTAAAAGTAAGTTGCAGTGAAAACAATACCAAATAAACATATTGCTACGAACTACTTTAGCATCTGACATATGACCAGAACTCTATTACAACATTAATGACGTTCCACGTCCGATTCGCAATTGATTCCGTCATTTGTCAGGACAGAAAACAATGTCCAATGACAACAAATGTCCCCGGTTAGGGACATTTGTTGATTTCTCAGAGAAGGACATATATATATATATATATGAGTGGTTACCGTCACAACTGTCAAGAAAACACGCTGTGGTCGTTCATTTGAGGAAGGTTCATCTAGGTAGAGCGGCCATTCTGGTATAAAGTACACGATTTAAAAGTAAGTGAATAATTCCGATATGAATAGCCTATATATGATTATCGTTGTTATCAGAATTCATCGAAGAGGACCTTGATGGCATTGAATGGATTTTCAATAATTTACCTCGCTGATGGTGAATATGAAAATGGTGAATGTGATTTACGCACTCCTCAGCGCTCCTCTGTGAATCCGCAGTTCCCTTAGAACTGAACGGAAACATACCGCCCAACTAGAAACAACGAAGGCGTTTGGGGAAGGCGGTATCGAAGGGCGCTCAGTGACGGAATAGTGTCTTTTTTGCAACAAGAATAATGTCTACGGTAGTATGAGGTTAGCTTGATAAGATCAGAATTTCCAACAAAGTTCTCTGCAGTGGCTAATTTAACCTACCGTTGCACGAGGACCCTGCTTCACGGTTCGTCTCTACCTGCTCCTTTTACAGGTACTTCCCCTTTTTCTTCATACTATTTCTATTCAACTCGGTCTGATATGGAGTGGATAACTCCTATACAGCTCTACAACTTGGGGCACCATTAGGTTGTAAATATCAACATTAGGTTGAATGTAAACAAAACTTAGTGTCAAGCAATTAAGACAGTGTACAGATGAGCTCAATGAAACGACACCTTTTTTTGCCAGTCAGATTCGGAACGGGACTTTTGTCATCGTAAAGATGGGCGTACGCACGGCACTAACAAGCAGCTTGATGATGACGATGATGCTCGGTAGCAGCGAATAGATCAATGAAACTAATTACCATTTAGTTATTGATCGTCCACTGGTGTTACGGTTGTCAAGATACCAGATTAGCAAGGTTTGTATTCCCGTAATTTTTAATTGCCATGCTGCTATATCATAAATCAGGCCTGCCCTTTGCCTTTTAGTGTCTATGTTCCGCCCTTAGGTATTTAGCTCAGCTTACTCCGGCAGCGATGTATTGGTCGCGAATAGTCCTGTAGTCCCTTCCAGGCCAGTCGTAAGAACTGATGTCAGCTAGAAGAACAATTGATGCTAAGGCGAAGCACACCGCTGCAATGGCGGTATAAATAAGTTCCTAAAATAGATTATCAGATAATATAATAATCGGTTATATTTCAAATGAATAATAAGTGTTCAATTGGAAAGTATATTTGATAATTAAGAAAAATCAGTACACGTAGAAAAAAATTGATGTTTTTTCAAGGGTGCTTATATTCGGTTACGTTCAAGTCATCGAATCACTAGATCGACATTATTACAACTTTTTATTCATTAGAGCTTCTTAAATTTTCCATCAGCATTTATTGAAACTTCGTTCCATCAAAAGTGGTTCTACTAAAAGATTCTATATGAGGCAAAATAACTCAGGCGGTTTGGCAGGCATCGTGTAGCAGTAAATAAACGTTGTCAGCATGTCAGCCAGTTGCTTCTTAACCTACCCCTGTAAGCCATCGAATCTGATAGAGTGCTCGATCCACGCCCAGCACAATGATGATGCATAGAAGAATTGTCAAAATATAGCAGGTCGCCGTGACGAATAGAAAAAGGCGTGCGCAACCTGTTAGTGCGGGCGTCGAGCAGCCCAAACAGACCATCCCCATAACCTGAAATTAACAAACATAAGACAAGAACAGAATTTCACTGGCAAGTTTCTAGTGGACACGTCCAGAAAGGTATGGGTCTATTTCGTGTCATCAAGTATATAGATAAGGCTTTAAATATGTCAGTTAATAAAAGTGAGTTGAAGATGACTTTTGCTATCTCCAAATCTTGCTGTCGTGTAGTCTTCCATCTGTGCTACCAGAAATATGGCCATCTGTCACGTTAAAGGGGAATTTGTCCGAAAAAGCATAGATGATAACATGGGCCAGCTAAAACCGTTCGTCCAATATATTGGCACAGCACACAATCATAGTACGAGTCCATTGCTCCTCTCTTTGTTGCTGAGCGATTCGCCCCCATCGTGCAATGGGACACGTAAAAATGTTGTTTAATGCTGACAATCTTGTGGTCTTCAGAAAGGGCTGGCTTCTTGTCTAGGGATCTCTTGCAAGGCTGTCGTTACAGATAAGGTGGAACTGGCGGTCTGCTCAGGCAAGACGGAGATCGAAAGTTCCGTCATGGGAACTTCATGTAATTTTAGCTAGAATTTCAGATCGAGCCTTTCCAGAGCATGCTATTGACAGTTTACAAAGACTAATAGTAGTTATGCATACTGCCTCTTTTCTTACGAATGGTATTGGCCTTGCACGAAATTTAGGTGGCCGTGGTAGCATTTCCCGAAGTCCAAGCAGTTTGGGGACACCTTTTGTTGGCGCAACTCGAAAAGCTGACCGAATCAAACCTACATTTCCAAAATATGTAATCTCATTACTCATCGTTGAAGAGGTATATTTGCTTCTTACGTGATACACTGCTGTTTGTAGAGGATCTGAGACGCGGATTCAAACTTCGCACTATCCCTGCTTATCTGAAATTCATTAGTACATGGGATAGATCGATTCCGACCTGCTAGCTAGACTAGGGCGATAATCAATAAAGCCTGAAGAAGGGTAACTATGACTAACTGGCATATAATAATTACGCGTTTTGCAGTACGTGCGTTTCACCACATTCTGTATGGTATACTGGGTTTTCAATTGCCAGATGCTACGTCCGAGGCGTGGCGGAATATGCCTCCGACAGCACGCGGCGCAGTGCACTGCATTACTCAAACTATGCGGCCCGTTAATTTTAAAATATTCAATTCGCACCTTCATATAATACAGTTGTATATTTGTACACATATAACAACAGTCTTTTTTCGAAAATAGTAAATGTTTGCTCTTTATCAAAAGTGGGCTTATGTATGTATAGGGAATTGCTAAAGAGAGGAATGGGATGTCGATTTGTGCAATTAACGAGGTAAATTCATTTCCACTGACGCAAGCGACCTCCGCCTTGGGTTTTTCGCTGCATCTTCCCGTAGAAAAAACTATTGATATAATTAGTCTACTAGGCGACTTACAAGTCGTGTTTGTCGACAAAAACCCATATATCCATTGAATAGCAACTCCGCTTACAAGATCATATAGATCACCCTTGAAGAGCTACGAGTTGTCCGACGCGCTGTACCAATTCAGTGCACTTTCGATTTGTGAAAAATCTAAATCTAGAGAAAATAGTTTGCCGCAATACCTGGCTATGAAAATCTAAAACAGACCCATTCTTTTTTGCTCCGAAGGTCCGATAGGCGTTCAGTATTCTGGTGCTGTTGGAGACCCAATAGTGTCACCTCTGAAAAGCTGGCACAAAGTATATTTCGCATATTTTTATTTTAGTGCACCTATTCGTAGGACACAGCTAAGGACATCGTTCTTAGTGTCGTCTTAGCGTCGAACAGCGCCAAATCGTACCACAGAACCTTCCAGTGGAAAGCACTATGTAGTTTCCAGATATAAAATCATTCAGAAAGCGTCTTTATACAAAAATATAGTCAGTAAGTAAAAGCCGGTCTATATAAACCAGCAATGTTATTCCACTTCACAGAGAATCCAATTCTGTTGTGCAGTCACTATCGATAAATGGCTTCGAGCGTGTAAATAGTTTGGGCATAGTCTTCACACTATTACTATAACCTATAATCTTTCCATTGTGTGAATAGGCCGTACATTAGTATCTGCTAAGAGACGCAAAAATTTTTTCGAACTGGGCTGGGGAGCTTGAGAACATCTATTCGTGTACCCTTGAGGTCAACAAAATAGGCCTGTCCTAACACAAAGCACGTAAAGGTGTCTTTTTTTCTTTCGAAATGTATTCAGTATTGTGTACGTCCAAACGAAATCAAGGGCTGATACTCTATTACTTTGTTTGCTTGTTCTTTTCTGTAAGTGGCAGGTCACGTTAGCAGTGCATAGGCAGTGTTTCTTTTGATGGTTCCAAGTGTTTGTTCATTTGAGATCTTTAATTCTAGAATAAATATTATCTATCTATTCTTTATTATGTCTTATGTTTCGTGTTATTCCTACGACGCGTCCCCAGTGATACTCTCGAGAACGCCTTCTTAATGATGCTAACAGTTAGAAGGGTAATCAATAGAATCTTTTATTTTTCGCCCGCCTTTGCTAATATCTCTCAAAATGGTGCTGTGTATTTATACGTGTCTCTTGTTTAAACGGATTGTCATCTAACAGAGAAGGTAAACATCTTTGTTGCTGACAAAAAAAAATTGTATATTTGTTATCGTATTCCCGTTCAAAAAATGGCATGTATGGAATCAGTTGTCTTCCACAAGTATAATGCATTTAAGTCAACAAACCTATTCATCCGTATGACGTACGTTTTTGCTGAGATCCGCCGTAACAGCGACCGCCGTAATAGAAACGTGCTTAATTCATACTGTCGGCTGACTATCTTTGTTAATAATACGAAAATTCTTCATACTGCTTCTAACTAATTTGTAATCTCCGATCTTCATGGCAATTGTCATTCATGACTGTTATTTCCGGTGAGTTTTTTCCGTCCTTATTTGTGTGCTGTTATTACTCGGCAACTTTGACAGTCACTCTTCACTTAATTATTTTGCAGCAGTCCTTAGGATGCTTCCTGCCATCCCTACATATGTTTCAATGGTTCAGCAAAGAGGGGGGTGCGATCAACGTGGCATTCGTTTCGTGATCATATGACTGTAAAATTAAGGTCCTTAATTCGACTTCGGCTACGGCTTCCGCTAGCGTTTCGCTCACGAGTGGGAGGCGCTGTTGGCTTCGTCGCTCGAGCCCACCACCATTCATAGTACACAAATGCATACGTGCTCTTTTCAGACGCTAACACTATGCTACAAGGCATAGAAACAAGGGAAAAAGCTCTGCTTGGTATGATATGGCCTTACGATGCTGACATTGTTGTAAACGTGAAACGCTGATGTATTCACGTTCGCGCTACACTGATTGATCTGAAAGCTGAAAACCAAGATCTTTCCAAGGCTCCTTTGTCACTATTTCTCTTCACTCACCTTCTGCGCATATCGAAAGAAGTCTGATTGTTAGAACGAAGAACTACTGCGGCTCCAAAATTCGCCAGTCAAACTAATACGAGACAAATCGAACGTGCATGGTTTATTCATGTCGATACCGCTAACGGCCAACTTTGCCGGAACAGGGCCGAGTTCGACGTATGACATAGCGATAATTGTTTCAAGTCCCACAAGCTAGTCAGACTTCTTGTACAAATGGTCATGCTTATTACTGAATCACGTATTGGTTTCAATATCAGAAAAAGAAAGAAAACATTACGTATATCGTAGATAGAAATAACCATGTAGAACAATAGTTGTATGTTTGTCGTCGAGGGTACCAACCGAATAAGGGTATATGAAAGGAGCGGCAAGTGATAATTAATAGCTTAATATGTCAAATAACATTTTCTTAGACTTCTGACTTGAGCGCTCGTTTTTACGGAAGTTATTACGGAAGCATGACGTTCGACGAACTTTCTAAAGGATTTTTCAAGTTCAACACAGTGATTCGCGTAGGAAATCGAAACATAATTATCATATCAAATATTACCTGCGCAGATAACTTTCACTGATTGTTTAGACAAAGTTAGAAGAGAAATTAGAGCAGTTAGCATTAAAGGCAGACAAGTTCAGTTTTTAAACGTTTCGTGAAGTGCGAGCAACCTAGAGGGAATTCAAACGTTATTGTGCAGAACAAAGTTGTAAGGACTTAGGTTTAAGGATCGCTGCCGAACTGCCCTATCGCATTCGGATCTACTTGTTGGCCATTACACTTAACGTTTAATTAAATTAGGCCATTACACTTAACGTTTAATTAAATTATGCCATCACACTTTTACGTTTAGAAAAATTAGTTTGTAGTAGCCATACACATGTATCCGGCATAGTACCGTTGTATTGAGGTATGTCTAGAGATTTCTCTGCTAGCCCACAAGGCAAACTTCTACTGACACTATTGGATGATCCAATAGCCCGTCATGAAAAATACGAGGAACGTTTCGTGACGCAAACCTTGCGTTGTCACCTCACTTTTTCCTATGCATTGATCAGATTAATAGCAGGGTCTACCCGTAGGGCAGGAACGGTTGCTCTAAGCTTGGTAGAAAGTTCCCACAGGTCAGACCGGCACGACCCTGAACGCTGTGACCTTTATGCTTTGCCGGACATGGTTGTTCTCTAGGATTGTTCCTTTTCAATGTGTGCGAACGCGTGCGGTAGGTATAAATATATCTAAGGTGCACCTGTAATTGGTGTTCTTACTAAATGAGAAATTGAAGCTATATTCCTGGTGAGACGACGTCATAACTCCATTTCATAAGGTGGATTAGTTTGATCTATTGTAGTCTGATTCTTTGCTAGGATTAAATCGTTGAATATCAAAACAAAAAAAAAACTGAGCATTTTTCACAAAGCCAGGTTTTAGACTTAAACGTAAAGCGTATGCTAGTTTTATTTTCAGATATTTCGTCTGACCTATTATGAAACATTATCGTACCTCTCATATCAAGCATCAATTTCGCTATACCTGAGACTCAAGTCCGTCTCTTTGTGTGTAAGAAGAAAACAGAACAGAAACAGTGCCGGTTGTACATTTGGCAAGCATTCGTA